TACAACTCCTAGCCCTCCGTGTACCAGGACACTATACTACAGAGACAGAAACAACCTGACCAACATCAACCATAGCTGATCTCTTCTTGCCTCCTTTCAGACCCCCCGGTTCACCACTGGAATGCCTTTCACCCTCAGCAAACCCCAGATCTCTCTACAAGGCCTCACACTCCTGCTATTTACAGGTTACAGGGCAACGCCCCAGCTCCAGCCAACGTCGTTCTAGCATCGGCAAACCAAGGGCATAGAACAGAGCAACTCACAAGATATCAGTCCAGGTTCAACCATCTCCGAAGACCTATATTCCAGATGTGGAAGAATACGAGATGCAGCCAGAATTTCAGAACACCAAAAATCTTAATATAACAATAATCAGATGATGATAGCCGAGAATTTCAGCACACCTCCATTCTCTCCATTACCCTATCTATCCCTTTACTCTAATCTGCCCCCRCTGGGATTTGATGCCCAGCCCCAGAAAAGAGTATTCCTCACAATCTGCCCAAACCCCCTTCTGGATTCCACCTTCCTCCTAAGAAACACCTGCAGGGCAGGGCTCTTCCCTACCCCGTCACCAAATTGTCATTCCTCTTGGATTTTGTTGGAGGCGAAGGATAACGCCATGAAGATAATAATAATAGGAATGATGATGATGATACGAAAAGCGACATGAAGCCTTGAAGAGCAAACTCTACTGATAACAAAAAGTTATCAATAAAGATGATGACAATGATGATGATGATGATGAAGATTAACCCATGATAATACTCACGATGGTGATTATGATGATATCAATAATGCTGCTGCTACTGCTGCTGCTGATGATGATGATGATGATGATGATGATGATGATGATGATGATGGTGATGATGATGATGATGATGATGATGATGATGGTGATGATGATGAAGATGAATATGATGATGACGCACCAATGAAGATGCTCATATTGATGATGATAATGATAATGGTATGTCAGTTATGCTGACGATGATGATGAAGATAATGATGATGATGATGCTGATGATGATGATATTGATGATGATGATGATGATTATGATGATGATGATGAAGCTGATGAGAAGATGATGATGACTCACCAATAAAGATGCACATAATGAATATGGTGATGTCAGAAATGTTGTTACTGCTGCTGATAATGCTGATACTGATGTTGCCGCTCCTCTCTATCCTTCTGTTGCCCAGCACTCCCGCTGCCACGTTCTTTCCACCTTGATGCTGAACATGAAGATGATGGTGATGATGATGCTGTTGATGATGGCGATGATGATGACTAATCTCGTTACTAATGATGATGATCATGGTGATAATGATAATGATGACAATACTGTTGTTGCTGAAGCTGATGATACGATGATGATATGCCCTGTAGATGCAATGTAGATGAAGCAGAAAGAATGACGATCATTCGAGTAGAAGCCTCTCCCTTGTAATGAGCACTTGACGAAACTTGGATTCTCTCCTCGAAGCCCTCCCACTCACTATCCCCTGACAATCCTCCTCCCACTCCACGGGACACACTGTACTCTTCTTCTTCTCACGCCGAGCCGACCTCCTCCACAAAAAGTCGCAAGATGAAGAGCACTAGTGATTACTCCTAGAGTATTGTCCAAATAAGCAATACCCTCCTTCATCCGGCATGCTATCCTGTAGCATTACTCGTTTGAAGCGCAAAGTAGCGAGATGGCAGTAGACCTGCTTTCAAAAGTCAGGAAACAGCAGGTGTTGAGGTTGTTAGATGCCATTCCATCCCCCCATCGTCCTCATCGCCCAACACGCTCGAATTTCATTGTGCGCCATAGAACTACGATATCTCATAATCCGCTGGACCGTTTGGTCTGAAATTTGGACCACCTCAGCTCCTCATCGTAGACCACCGGTGGATTATCTCTTGCAACGTGCAAAAATTTGTAGTGAGATGTATGAGATTGAACCAAGGAGTCTGCGAATGTCAGTCGTGCGGCCTGCAAATTGAGCTATGGCCTAGTCATGGCAGGCGCGGTGCCTGACCCATATTCCCGAAAAAGTTGTGTGAGGGGGAAAAAGGGAAAGGGGTTGTGAAGCATTGGAGTTTTCGTGAGAGAGAGAGAGAGGTAAAGAGAGAGAGGGTGAGGAAGAGAAAGGTATCAAACGGAGTGCATAAGATAGAGAGGAAGAACAAGAGAGGAAGGTATGAATCGAGGGGGTGCAGGGAGGAATAGGTGTGTATATGCACCTGTTTAAGTGGCATGTGGTGGACGGTTTGCCGGCAGGGGTTGTGATTGAGCAGTGGAAGGTCGTGCCGCCACATTATCATCTTCGACTGTGGGGTTATACGCGCTGGGAGCTTCGTCAACTTTACGCAGTGGCGGTTGAATTGCCCGCATGTTAGCGTTGAAGCATGGGACGAGCAGGTTGCCATAATATTTGTGACCTGTTGTACGTGTGAATGTGAGAGGCGTGCCAATATCAGGCAAAACATAGTTGTCCTCCAAATTGTAGATTGTGCCTCTGCCTAGCAAAGGGAGCAGATCGTTGCGGATGTCGCCATATGTATTTGCCAATGTCCAGTGCGTGTCGTTGACCGCCTCACGCTGGTCCATGTATGCGATAGTCATATCGAGGACTCTCTTGTCGTTCGACCAACGTCACACATAGTGCACGAAGTACCCTTTTTGCGTAACAAGAAGAGGCTCCGCCAGCTCGGGGTCGTGTATGAACTCCTCCATTTCGAGGGTTGTGTTGTGCACAACCTGGGGCAGCCGCTGTTTTTTGGTCTCTTGAGCCTCTTAACATAAGTGGATTTGTTCGAGCAACTTGGGTCTATTACTCTTGAGGGATGGGAGAGGACCGTTGCGCTTAGAAGAAGTATTAGATGATGCCATGATCTGTTGAGAAGACAGAACAATTCGTGAATGTGAATGGGAGCACGACGAGGGGCATACAGGCAATGATAACAAAGGAAGGTGGCAACCACAGGAACATAATAAATATGCACAACCATAAGAGGATGGTGGAAAGCAGAAATGTGGGGGGCAAGCATAAATGAGACGGATCGTTAGGGACAACGATAAGGCAGAGGTGAGGGGCAGCTGGAATGCGGGAAAGGGAGGATTGCATAGAGCGTGCCTGTCACGAGCTCATCATGTATAAAAGAACGGCGATTTTGTCCAAATGGACATTTTATATTTTTTGAACGAAATTGAAATTGTCATTTTTTAGATGATTGAAGTGCAAAAACCATTACAAATGGGCGTTCTGGTGTGAGGGAAAATGGGTAAGGTATAAGGGGTAAGGTATAAGGGGTAAGGTGTAAGGGGTAAGGTGTAAGGGGTAACGTGTAAGGTGTAGGGGGGTAAGGTGTAAGGTGTATGGGGTAAGGTGTGAGGTGTAAGGTACCATGCAAGGGCAAGTGACACAGCGCACCGAGGAATAATTAACACCTTATGTACATTGTTTTTTGTCAAGTGCCATCTCGTGCCAACCACGTCCGCCCCCTTTACAATCATACTATAGAATATCACATACGCACTACTCACGAGCCACTAGGTCCAATGCCATCCGACGACGTATCGCGGGTATGTCATCTGCGGTGAAACATAAAGGCGGAAGTTGGCCCCGTGCCAAAAGTGAGGCGTACGTGAGTATAAAGACCTCACATTCGTTCGTGTCATATTGCTTTGGAATGCCCTCTACATTCCATATGTGATTGAATGGTCTCGTGTCCACCTCTTTGCCTTGCACTTTCGATCTTTCGAATAAAAACTTTGCAAACCCGCCGGTCACTTTTAACGCGAACTCCTTGTCAGGGTCGAGGGGGTCGTAAAATTCGAATTTCCTCCTTCTTAAGTCAGCCACGACCAAGGTCCAGTGGTCCTGGTGTGCGATATGGAAAGGAGCAATAATCAGATCCATGTCAATTATAATTACATCCTGGTACCAACGTTCTACCTCTCGGCCTCTATATCTCATGTCATTATCGAAAAGTTTAACAAAAAAAAACGAGCTCAGCACTGATACTCTGGGAATGCGACTGTTTCCTTCTCTAATAACTATCTCATTATCCGCGTCGCATTCTACGTGTTGTATTCTACAGCAGTGGTCTAATGCTACGAGGTTGAGATAAAAGTTGATCACGTTGTCGTTTAACCACTCTTGTTCGACGACGAGTAAAAGGAAATCGCTACAAGTGAGTTGCAACACTTCGCTATTGTGCGCATCTTGTGTATTGACATCGGGGTACCTATTCCCGTATTCGCGAATAATATGCGCTAGTGCTGCCATCTTCCTCTCCGATAAAGACGAAGTTGCGAGATGCATTGTCCATCCTCTTTTGCACAATCTTGAATCCGTTGTTGTCATTTGTACTGCACACCACAGACGATGAGGAAGAGGACATTCACGTGGGCGGACGGGGCAAGTATTGTGAGTGCATGGCCAAACGCTTTGTGAGAGCTGATGCATGCAAGGCCTGTTTTCATTATTTCTCTAATATTGTACTTGTATGAACGTCATTCACGTATGCAGTCATTCATTCCTCGCATCGATCGACCACCCTAAACACACGTCCATGTCACAACGAGAGAGAGAGAGAGAGAGAGAGAGAGAGAGAGAGAGAGAGAGAGAGAGAGAGAGAGAGAGAGA